ATAAGATTCCAGTAGGCAATGGCCATCTCAAGATCTGTAGAGAAATAAAAAGCACAAAAGACTTTAATCAATTCATACAATATACATTAAATTATACATGTACATGTACTCTCAAATTATAGTAGGATCACTCGCAAAATTCCCCCATCAACACATGTACATTGAAATCATTGTGTGGCAAGTTTAGCAAACATGATCCTACATGTACATGTACATGTATAATATTATGTCACTAGCCTAGGCCTTTCTGCCCGAGTTTTTGGCAACATTAAATGTAAACTGGTAGAAGTCCTTGAACTGTTGTGAGTCCTGTATCTCTCAATTAATGGTCTGACAAATTTTACGGAGTTTATTAATGGAATCACACCTAAAAGAGGGAGAAGGGGGGGAGAGAAGGAGAGAGACAGAGACAAAGAGAAAGAATTATACATTTATTTGTAGAAAGAATGTGAATTATGTTTTTATGCTTAAAGCAAAACTCATAAAATACAGTGATAAGAACATGTATAACATAATAGGAGAATGTTCATGTGCAATGAATGAGTCCATCAATACACACACACACACTGCATGTACGTGTGTGTGTATTGATGTACTTGATTGATTGATTGTACTTGATTGATGTACAGTGTACACGTACACTGCATGTACGTGTGTACTTCTTCCAAACGGAGAAGAGATCCTTCAAAAACCATCAACTGCTTCATCAAAGTAAGTATCACCTAAACACTAGTAATATGTACTAGCACAATGAGGATACAGTAACTGACCATTGGGATCAAACTCCCATATCTCTGAACTGACTTGCATGAATATGAAGTATTGCAATGAGGCTGGTCTAAACACAATCTACAGACATGTAAAATTTTAATTGTATATGTACATGTACATGCAAAATAATAATGTCAATGAATTATATAAACATGTCACAACATTTTATAAACAATGATACGTACCACAAAAATTTCTAGGATGAGTTTTAGCTTTAAAACTTTAGTTTCTGAGTAGTATTTGCTGGACAGAAAATCCACCATTTTAAATTTCTGCACTTTACACCACGCCTACATAACACCATAAAATTAACTCTTTGTTTACTCAATTTAACTTCAGCTTTTTGGAGGACGATACTACATGTACATGTAGGTTTTTTCCTACTCTTTTCTGCTCCTTTCTTCCTCCTGTCGTAAGGAATAGTAGCTCCAAGAGTGATACGTTTATCCAGCCAGACATGGAAGCTTTAGCCAGGCTCAACCAAACCTCTGCAATCCTTTCATGGAGGACTCCCACCAGCCTCAGTGACTAGTGACCTCTCCTGTAAACTACCAAACGAGGTAACTGTAATTTAATTTCATCATTTTATTGTGCCAAGGCGGGATATATGCAAAATACATGTAATGTAGGGATAAAATTCATTCATTTGTTCACACACCGACACAAAATCATAATACATGTCCAGCTATTGGAATGGGACTTCCGGTCGCATTAATTTAATGATATTCATTGGAATTACCATAGCAACGGCAGCTCAGCAATGGTGGATTGATAGGAAGCTTCACTACAAAGCCTGCTAACGTCTTTCTGGTTCATGGATGGGACTTCACTAGATACTTGGAGCTTCTTGAATGCTACTTAATGCAATTGGTTATGGTAGTTTTTTCATATTCTAT